TTTTTTTTTTTTTTTCCATGGGGCAGGTTCGGAGTGGGGCATCCCGGCCCCGCCAACCCGTTGGGGTGGGTTTTTTTGGCTCCACTTGGGGCGGGGCGGGGGCATTTTGCCATCTCTAGAATGATCACATGAAAACTTGCACATGATATTTGTTTTGCCAATATTTTGGGGGGAGTGTGCACATTCTGAGTTGTGTTTGGTTATTCTTTAGATCTCGTATTTCCTCATACATCTTGTGAATTTTGGGAGTAACATTGATGATCGAATATTTACTCTCAAAGAAAAGTTATTGTTTTTGGAAAGCAACCTACATTCTTTTGTTTATGTTTGGCTAAGCTTAAATAGTTTACGTGCAAGTTTACTTAATATTGAATAAGCAAATGTTAAAATATGATCTTTATATTGATAAAAAATTAGAAATTAATTATTTGAGAGTAAGAGTTGCTTTTTAAATAAGTAATTTTTTTAACTTAAAAGTATTATTTGAGAGTAAGAGTTGCTTTTTAAATAAGTAATTTTTTTAACTTAAAAGTAATTGAGAAAAAGTAACTTATCCAAACATATTTGGAAACAAAATGTTAAAAAGTGTAATTTCACCAAATATGGTAGATAGCACTGATTTTCATCTTTAAATTTGTTTCAGGATAATGATGCTGTCTAGAAAGCTAACAGATATGGATGAACAACTCTCGTGTGACCCTTTGTACTTGGGAAAGGTGAGTCTCTAAACACTCGTCCTCTCGACCCAGTTGGTTTCCTGGCACTTTTCTCGAACTGTATGTTACTGGCACTTTTCTCGAACTGTATGTTAGTTGAATCCTTTTTTGGTCTTTAATATGCCCAGGCTGGAAGAGAGCGACAGAGATTCGACTTTGATGATTTTGACACGGTTCCTTCCAAATTCACAGTATGAAAAATTGGATTATGGCAGATGGATGCTAATCTCCATGGATTTTGACTAGAAGAAACTATTTCTGTATCCTTTTGTTTTGGAAGAGGGTCGAGTATGTCACCTTTGTGTTTTGGTCCAATCTCATCACAAATCATGCCTTTATACAGAAAAAAAGACTGTTTATAAAGTCGTTAAGGGCATGTTCGATAAATAGTGCTGGACGTGACTAGACATTACAGTTGATTTCAACCTATATTTCTTTCTTAATATCGTTTGATCTGATTATTCAAGTTTCATACATGAAATGTGAGCTTTTCCATACCCTTATGGTATATGAGCACTAAGCAGTTTATGCTTGGCAAAGTAGTTAATTGTAAGTGAAGCTAGTACTGGACTGTATTAAAGAAGAAAAATCAGTCAAAAATCTTGTTCATCTGTCAAGTTCTACACAGCATATGTAATCAAATTTTCGGGTGGTGAAGCTTAAGGTATTACAGCAGCACAGCATGTACAATATCTGGGTGAGATTGACGCTGGCGTTCAACCTCAGCAGGGACAACCGAGCATAGTGTAAACTTATTACAGTTTTAATCAAACAAATGTAAGATTTTATATTGATAAACCGGAAAAAAAGTAAATTTTAAACAACCTCAAATATGTCTGGGAAAAAAATTTCCAGACGAGTGAATTTTAAACTTATGAAATCATGCTTATATTTGGAACTGAAAGTACATTAATTGGTTAATCGTAGAACCTTGTGCAGAGGAGACGGCTAGTGACGCTAACCTTGTATCCTTTGTATTCAATTAATTCCTTAAGCCTATCTACAACAAAAAGGGAAACCTTCATTATCGATATAACAAAGATTGCTGGTCCTCAGCCAGCCATCGAAAACCAAGGTTTCAGAAGTTGCCAAATAACCTGCAAAATCATCACAAAGGTCTTGGAGCACATTGAATTTCTCCGCACAAATCAAGGTCAACCAAGCCAATATATCCCAGCTACCTAAGCCAATATCACCGACAAGGAAGGAAAGGCTACTGCCTTGGCTAACACATACCCTCTAGCCTTGAGCTCAATGTAATTAAGATAGGAATGCTACTACAAACCAGAAAAATGCTTCATTTCAAAAGGTTGAATCACCTTGTCTATGTTGTAGTTTGACCTAAATTCTAGTGGGTATTGGAGTTTTAGTAGAAGTGGTCTTGAAGAAATCAAAGTTATGAACCGGGAGGAAAAGTTGCCGTATTCTCACTAGCCTACCTTTAGCTGGCCACTTGAGCAGCAGGCGAACTTTTGGAGCAGGGAGCTGTCGCCCGCCTATTGCCGAGCTCTCACTCAAGTAACAAGCCTGTTGCTCTCCTGGCGCTAGATGCTGCTCGAGCAACAGAGTTGTCTGAGATTTTTCCTTTCGTCTATTTCTTGCGTATGTTGACTTAGTTTCCATCCATTAGGTTACTTTTAGGGTTTCGGGATGTTCCCTATAAATAGTAGACTCTTCATTGAGTTTATGAATTATCGAGGTTTTTGTAACAATATTATTCACTTCATTGTTGTTGAACAAAATACTTTGTTCCTCTGCCAGTCTATTTCTTGCCTTTAGTCTTGTTTTCTGTGTATCATATACTTATATTGTGTCATATTAGCCTCTTTCATCTCCAACAAGTGGTATCAGAGTTGTTCTACTTTCAGTAAAGTAGTTTCAGATTTGGTCCGAATTATAACAAGTGGTATCAGAATAAAGTTGTGATTTTGTTTGAGGTTTGTGTTATCGATGGTAGCCATGAAGTATGAAAATTTCGCTTTTGGATCGCAATACAAGATTTTCGTTGTGACAAGCGAAGATGCGATTTGTATTGGTGCAGATGAATTTGGATGATGTATTGTCGGGATTTGACAAAATTTCCACAACTTGAACAATAGAGGAGAAACAACGAAAGTATTGGAATGCACTTTCACAGATTCATCTTCATCTCTCTAACAATATTCTTCAGGATGTTTTGAAGGAGAAGACAACAGCTGCATTGTGGTTGAAACTGGAGTAATTGTGCATGATCAAAAGTCCAACAAGCAAATTGCATTTGTAGCAGGGGTTATATTCTCATCGCATAATAGAAGGCGGATCTTTGAAAGATTATCTGTCTGTGTTCTAGGAGATCGTCGCTGATTTGCAGATATTAGCAGTAAAGTATGATGAAAAAGATTTGTCTTTAGTCTTGTTGTGTTCACTGTTCATTTGTTTACTTGTTTAGGGACATGATTTTGTATAATCGTGATACGCTTACCATTAAAGATGTCAATGATGCTTCTATTCTCATATGATAAGATGAAGCATCTGGTTGGGTCTGAGTCCAGAGATGGAGAAGGTCTTGTAGTTCATGGTGATCAGCGAAGGGGTAAGTTGAGGAGGAGTTTCAATAATCAGGTTTGTTTTTACTGCAAGAAGAAATGACACATTAAGAGAGATTGCGAGAAGTTGTAGAGCAAAGATAATTAAATTGCAAATTATTGAAAGCAATCAAACACTTCGGATGATACCAACATAGTTGAGGACTATTTGAGTAATGGAAATCTCTTGGCAATTTCTGATGTGGAATCCAAACCTGACGAGGAATGGATCTTAGATACAACTTGTGCGTTCCATATGTGTCCCAATTGGAATTTGTTTGAAACATATGAAATGGTGACACAAGATGTCGTTGTCATGGGTAATAACAAATCTTGTTGGATAGCTGTTATTGAGATAGTCAAATTGAAGCTAGTAAATGGAACATGTAGAACACTTGTTCACGTTCGACATATTTCGATTTTGAAGAAAAATCTCATTTCGTTGAGTACTCTTGATTCGAAGGGTACGCGTTCACTAGAGCAGGTGAAGTTTTGAAGATTTAGAAGGGTGTCCGTGTTGTATTGGAGGGGCAGAAGAGGACTCGATTATACATTTTGCAAGGTCGGGTAGAATCGATGAAGAAAATCAGCATAGGTTTAGTATCATGGTGGATATCCAGTTTGGTACGGTATATTTGGGATTTAGCTTTGGATCCATATTGAAGAATACTACTCAGTTGAGTTTGGAGGATATGGATAATTTCGCTTTGCTACCATTGTTTGTGGTTCTATCCTATTCAACTACTAGGGATAGAGACTTATTAGAGATAGCTATGGGGATGTTGATTTGGTTACGCATACTTATAGGGTTTTTTTTTGAAGGTGGCATGACTAACAAGGGGCCTTTGGTGAAAGCATTGAGAGTTGATTATGCTACAGGGTGTGTTTCGATCCTGTTTGGTAATTTGTATTCTTTGTGATTTTTTTTTGGAACCCGGTGTATCCATGTTGGACACTGTAGAAGATGAAGATTATTTTTGTGTGATTGGAGAAGTTAGGTTCGGATTGAAGAGCTTAGATGTTTCATTGTAGTTGGACTTATTTTTTCAGGTAGAGAAATTTTGATGCTTCGTTCGTTGCACTAAAATATGGTTCAGTTGGAGATTTGTTGTAATTTGACCCAAATTCCAGTGGGCATTGAAGTTTTAGTTAAAGAGATCTTGAAGAGATCAAAGTTATGAATCGGGAAGAAAAGTCATCGCATTTTCGCTAGCTCACTGTTAGCTGCCCGCTCAAGCAATAGGCGAACTTTTGGAGCAGGGAGCCGTCGTCCGCCTGTCATCGAGCTCTCGCTTGAGCGCCAGCGCTGTCCAAGATTTTCTCCTTTTGTCAAAAGGAGAAAATCTCCATTCAATTTATGACATGTCACGTATAAATAGTAGACTCTTTATTCAGTTTATGAATTGCTGAGATTGTTGTAATAATATTATTTTTTCATTGATTGTTGAATAAAACACTTTGTTTATCTGCCAATCTATTTATTGCCTTTAGTCTTGTTCTCCGTATGTGATCATATATTTCATATTGTATCATATTAGCCTCTTTCATCTCCAACAAGTGGTATCGGAGCTGTTCTACTTTTAATAAAATAGTTTCAAATTTGGTCCGAATTATAGCAATCAAAAGCTTAAAATGCTAGGAAGGAGACAATTTCTATTTGAGTTTGTTTGCAACAAACCCAGGCCAGATTCACTCTATATATATATAACATTTTCTTTTTATAATCATAAATGACTGCTATGAGACTTGAATTCATGACTTGTATCTGATTTGGTACATGTCAAATCATCCAGTCTACAAGTTTAAGCGATTCGAGATATTGCACAAGCTAGATATGTTTCTAACGAACATGTAACTTCGGTACATTAGAAATTCCCTTTATGAAATTCAAAATTAAAATTTTCGATGTTCATACCTACTTATTTCCCAATAGTGTTATTAGAACCTCTTTGATGGTTAGCAATTACGTTGATAGAGATTCTTGATCTGACTAAATAATTGTTAGATTAATGAGTTGAAACGTGGATTGGAATTATGATTCATTTGAAATAATTCAAATTAGACTTTTGGAATAATTTGAAAGTCGTTGTAAATGGTAAGTTATTAATGAATGTGCAGCTCTAGAAATTATTACTGTTATATCCTTATCTTTTCACAACACATAATCAGCATGATAACTAAAATTTTTTAATTTTAGTGAAGATAGTAATTTTATATAAGCATAATTATCTATCATGTTTACTAAATCAATATGGTGGCATGTGATTTTTTTTTTAATATATTGATAGATTATAGAAAATGAATTTCTTGAATTTTTTTTGCTCCTTAACAGAATTGAAATTGTAATTTCTTCTCAGCTTTCTACTGCAATCAATTTCTACTCTTTTCTTTCTCCATCTCGAAATTAATTGTATGCCAACATTGAATTTGTATCAACATGTTTATTGATTTTGTCTGCCCCTTTAATTTTCTTTGGTCAATTTATGTGTAAATTCTGTCAATTTCATCATTATTGGATTTGTATCTATTCTTCCAATTTGTCAGCCACCATAATTTTTGTGTTGCAATTTTTTTGTCTGTATATGCAATTAATTTCCATTTTTTGCTAGAAAGTTTTTATGGATCGTATGCCTCCCAAAAGGTAACGGAAGGTTGCATCATAACTACATCCAGCCCCCGTTTGACCCTCATTAATTTCAATTCCATTACATTTTATTTTTCCCTCTCATATTTTCAACCACACAATCTTTTATAAAATAATATTACACGTAAATCAAAAACTTTTCCTTATTTTTCAACCACTCATTTTTCAAAAAAACACTATTCCATCCATTTTCATTTTCCTAAAATGGGGGCCAAATAGGGGCTCAATGTATTCAATTCCTGTTTATTCTTTTCTTTGGTCAATTCATGCATAGTCAATTTCTGTATAT